ATCATCGTTTACCATCTACTACTCTAGATCAGAAAACTCCTACGGATATCCTATCAAAATTTTATCCTGATTTTTGAACGACAAATAACTTAATTCCTTGAGTATTTGGTTGTGTAGCCTTTAGGATACTCGAACACTCAAATGAGATATAAATGCCATCATCCTTCTTCAAAAAGGTACTTCATCTCTGCTGATGTTACCTTTTATGAAGACATGAGCTTCTTTACCTCACCTTATCTTCAGGGGGAGGAAATACATAAGAATTTGCCCATTCCCAACCTCACATTTCCTGTATTAAATCCTTTACCATCACCAGTACCAAACCCTTTTGAAATTGACCCCAACATTAGTCAATCCTCCTCATCTTTACCACCCATAGACACCTCACCAGGGCCAAATAACCCTTTACCTCCAATAGGCACCTCACCAGGGCCATCTAACCCTTCTACTACTATACCATTATAGGTTTATTCAAGAAGGAACATTGAAAAATATACGCAAGTTCAAGAGTCTGAACATATCTCTGGAACTGAAATTGGCGATAAAAGAATAGTGATAAATCAGATATTACAATATCTGCTAACGATGAGTCAGACCTGGATTTGCCTATTGCTTTAAGGAAGGGAAAACGAACTTGTACTCAGTATCCATTGTCTCACTTTGTATCATATGACAAACTCTTAAGTCAGTACAGAAGTTTCATGGTTAATCTTACTCAGGTAAATATTCCAAAAACATATATGGAGGTAACACAACATGAAGAATGGAGGCAAACAATAAATCTTGAAATGTAGGCTTTAGAAAATAATAGAACGTGGGAGCTGGTTACTATGCCTAAAGATAAGAAAGCTGTAGGATGTCGATGGATATATACTGTGAAGTATAGAGCAGATGGAACACTTGAGAGGTACAAAGCACGATTGGTTGCTAAAGGATATACTCAAACATATGGAGTTGATTACCTTGAAACCTTTGCCCCTGTTGTCAAGATGAACACAGTACGAGTACTTCTATCTCTTGCTGTAAATCATGGATGGGGCATGTTACAATATGATATAAAAAATGGTTTTTTGCTTGGTGATCTTGAACAAGAAATTTATATGGAGATTCCACCTGGGTATGAGTAAGTAGGAAATAAAGTTTGTAAATTAAGAAAGGCGTTGTATGGATTAAAGCAATCTCCTAGGGCATGGTTTGGTAGATTTTCTCAAGTTATGAGGAAGCTGATGAGCTATAAACAAAGTCAGGGAGATCATACATGGTTTATAAAACATTCTACCACAGGGGGAGTAACAACACTAATTGTTTATGTCGACGATATTATTGTCACTGGTAATGATAATAACGAACAAGATAAATTAAGAAATTGTTTAATCCAAAAGTTTGAAGTTAAAGAACTAGGAAAGCTGAAATATTTTCTTGGAATAAAAGTTCCCTATTCTAAACAAGGCATATTCCTATCACAATAGAAATATGTGATTGACTTACTTTCTGAAACATGAAAGCTTGGTAGCAGACCAATGAGAACGCCAATTGATCAAAATCATAGATTATGTGCATCTGAAGAGAGTCCTCGAGTAAATAAGGAAACTTACCAGAGGTTAGTTAGAAAATTAAAATATCTTTTTCATACGTGACCAGATATTGCGTATGCGGTAGGAGTGGTAAGTCAATTATGCATAGTCCAAAATTCATCTCCAAGCAGTGTACCGAATACTTCACTATTTGAAAAACTCCATTGCGAGAGGATTGTTGTTTAAGAAAGGCGAGAAACTCAATCTAGAAGTTTATACAAATGCAGATTATGCAGGATCGGTAGATGATAGAAAATCTACTTCTGGCTATTGTACTTTCTTTGGTGGAAACTTAATGACATGGAGAAGTAAAAAAAAATGTAGTTGCAAGATCGAGCTCAGAAGCGGAATTTAGAGCAATGACATTGGGCATCTGCGAATTACTGTCGATAAAAATTATTTTAGAAGATTTGAAGATTCCATAGGAAATACCTATAAAACTTTACTGTGATAATAAATCTGCTATCAGTATTGCACATAATCCAGTTCAACATGATAGAACCAAACATGTTGAGGTTGATAGACACTTCATAAAAGAAAATTTAGACAACGGTCTCAGAGGTACTCTATTTGTACCAACAAATAATCAAATAGCACATATCCTAACTAAAAAATTGAACAACAACAACTTTGAGCATTTAGTTAGCAAGCTGGGAATGGAAAATATTCATTCACGAGCTTGAGGGGGAGTGTTAAATTATATTAGTTTCTTTTAATTTCTTATTGTATTTAGGTTAGGTTTCCTTGTTCTAACAGGTAAGTGTTTTCTTATCCGAATAGGCAAGAGTTTCTTTTCTTTTCTTCTTTGTAGCTCCTATCTATAATCTTGTATCAATTATTTGGAAGTAAGTAAGAAATAATTATTTTTTCTTATCAATTAACACGTTGTCTTTAACAAGTAGTATCAATGTCATGGCTCTCGTTCTGGTATGAGAGTAGATGAATGAATGACTACTTGAGGGAGGCTCAATGGTACTTTGTCTGAGGGGAGGATTGTTGGGTTTGTAAGGTTAATGCAAACAAAGTCTCACATTGGCTAGGGAAATGAGCGATCCATAGTATATAAGAGAAAACAATTATTTTTATTAATATGAGACATTTTGGGTGAAACCAAAAGTAAATTCATGAGGGCTATGCCCAAAGCAGACAATATCATACCATTATGGAGATACTTAGGATACAAGGAGTACTATTGTCCTTAACAGATAGAACTTTTGGCTATATGTGTGATTTTTAGACCTTCTCCATTTCCAAGAAAAATTTTATCTTTCCCATGGTAAGTTCTTAAGTTACTCATCTTACCAGTATTGTTGATAATGTGTGTTTAAGCGCCAAAATCTTTATGGATATTGGAGTTTGCTTCGTCCATAATGTTCATAGCACCCAACGCCTTTGGTATGTCTTCTGATTGGTAAGAGTGATCAACTTGTTCCAATAATCAATAGCTATGTGATTAGTTTTTCCACATGTTTGACAAGCTTCCTGCCTTTTGATTTGGGAGAAAACGATGTCTTTGTTTGATCAGTAAGCTGATGTTTCTTGTGAATGTTGTGAATTGATCCTTGAGGTATGTTTTGTGGAAAGCCCATACCTCTAGATGAAAAATGCCAGCCACGGTCTCTAATTCTTCCTCTTTTGTTGTAGTATACTTGATTATGTTTAATATGAGATAACTTATCTTCTTCAATTTCAATTGACAATATCTGATCATGTGCTTTAAAGGCCAAAATAAATTGGTTAAAAGTAGGATATGGAGCCTTTGGCAACATTACTACTCTAAAACCTTGGTAGTTGCTACCCATGCCTCTAGCAAGATGAAATACCTTTTTCAGATCATCTAAATGCTTCTTGATTGTAGCTAATTTATCACACAAATGTTTGAACTTCTTCAAATATTCATCAAGAGTTAGAGATCCCTTTTCAGTGTGAGAAGAGTTTCGCTTACATGGATCTCGCTTTCTTTAGTCATTGTAAGTAGTTGATCTTATAAGGATTTCCAAACTTGGAAAGATGTTTTGGTCCCTTCAATCATGATCAAGACATCTTCGGATATGATCCCAGCAGCCAAAAGGTGAGGAGTCCATCATTTGTTGTCCAGGCAGTGTGTGCAAGGTTGCTACCTGAGCTTCCATCCTTGTCATATGTCTCATTTTCCTTAACTTCAGTCGTTGGGTGAGATTATGTTCAATCCCCCACGCTCTTGATTAGAGGTAACATTTGAGATTTCCAAAGCAAATAATTTCCAGTATTTAGCTTAATTGAGATCAGGCTGGTGCTTTGGTGAAAGGATTGAATTGTAAGAGCGTTCTCTATGTTTTCCATAGAAGAATGTGAGGCCTACGATGATCTGGTTTCTTTTCTTAGCACGACGATGCTTTGATACCATTAAAAAATAAACAAAACAAAACTAATCTTAATGATAATACAATATAATTCACAACTGACTTGCTTGAATTTTAACTCAAGCAAATTTATACACAGAGAGCTTTGATTAACAAGCTACTAAGGAAAAGGAAAGAATGGGAGAATAAAGGAGAAATTTGGGCAAAGTTTTGCCCAAATTTACATCAACGGAAATATCATTTCTCTTAATGGAAAAATGATCTACTATAAGGAAAAGATAGGAAGAATTAATGGTATTTAAATAAGGCAAGTGCAATATCTTCAAACACAGGGCATTCATGGATATTGGTCATGATTTAGATAGAGGATTTTGATGTAACATGCTTCTAATTTGTGACTGATTCTGAGGTAATATGCTGCTGGTGGTTATATTATGCTGACATAGATGGTGAATCAGCTATTGATTTGGCATAGATACTTAGGTGGCAGCAGAGGATCTCTTATATATCCAAGATATGTTGAAGATGAGGATGAAGGGCTCATGTCATTAGAAACTGAGCTCAACTCGGCTTCGACCTGGAGAAGATTCTGACCTACAGGAAATTCGTTGATGTTCAATGAAAGGACGACTCTACTGTTAGAAGATTTTTTAATTGTCGACAAAAAGCCCATTGGATGCATGTTACACAGTAGATGCAATGACAAAGTCGTCATTCGCAATGCTCTCTTCATATTAAAGGAGGAGTCCTAACTTCATAAAGATTCAAAATCTCTTACATTCAAATTAAGCTCCGCTTAACACTCGCTCATATTAAGTCGTAACTTAAAGCTTCAGAGTGCTGGTTGGTGTACGTGTCACCACTTCATTAATTTCACATCAACACAAACTTATTCCTACCCTCTAATGATAGCTCCAAAGTTGATCTCCTAAAAACAAGTTAATGAAATGGAAGATGCATACTTTATTTATTGCAAAATAGTGCCCACAACATTTTGTTTAATTTACATACACAAATAAGCGAGAGGACAACTACAATGTTTTTGTGTTGCACACACATATATTTCGCGATTCATATTTCATGATCAACAAGTTGGGTACATAATATGAGGTAGGCGTGGCTTTGCATGCAAGTGTAATGGCTTTGGGAAGGAGAGTTCATCGGCCTCCGAGAATTCTATCTTTGTCATTCCAAGTGGTAAGCTCCATGAAAACCCTTGAAGCAACCTAGCAAATAGCATCATGGTAATGTTAGTGCCCAATGAGCTACCTATACAACCTCTTCTTCCTCTAGTGAAGCTAATAAATCTTAAACTTGGTTCCGACAATCCTAGCTCAATTGTGCTCTCATCCGTGAGATGACGTTCTGGATCAAACCTATTTGGATTCTCCCAAATTCTCGGATTTCGACCGAGTCCCGGACGACTTAGAATGACTTCACTGCCTTTTGGGATAAAGAAACCGGCCACAATGACATCAGAGTTTGAGACATGAGGAATATTGAAAGGTGAAAATGGATGTAGTCGAAGGGATTCTCTAGCACAAGCGGTGAGATACTTCAGTTTTGGGATATCAGATTCTTGAACAAGTCTGTCTCTTCCGACTACTCTGTCCAATTCTTCAACTGCTTTTTGGAGAATTTTTGGTTGATTGAGTAATTCTGCCATTGTCCACTCCACTGTATTTGAAGGATTATCGATTGTTGCAATTTGTAGCTCCTATATAATTATGGTGGCAAAGAATCACATCAATATTAACAATATCAAGTACTTTCATCAACTAAAAATACATCGTGTATGTATTTAGTAATTAGGATTAAAAAACTCATTTGGTTCTTGTACTTTTGGATTTGGTTTATGTTGGTTCTTGTACTTTCAAAATGCCCATTTTTAGCTCCTGTAATTATTTTTTAATTTTTGGTCATTTTATTCCTTTAATTTTCAAATGTCTGATTAGATAAATTTTTGAAGAAGGTTTCATTCAACATATCTTGACCAAGGAGGAAAAATATGAAATAAATGATTTATGGGTTGAAAGTGTTCTCTTGTATATACTCTTAGACATAGGAGAGAGGCTCACTCTTCATCTAGATATCTTCCACGTCTTATGAATATTTCGTCTCCTTTCTTGGTTTATGGAAGCTTGTGAGCAAGAGTTTCCCCCTTGAAAGTTGGCTTTAACGAAGGAAAGTGGGCATCACACTTCATTAACAAAGTTTCTTAAAATGTGGCAAAAATTTTATATCAAAAAGGACTTTCACGGTATACAAAATTTGTGTTAAAATTTTGTAAATTGTGAGAAAATTTGTTACCTTTTAAAAGTATAGTGACCAAAACATACGTTTTTACAAATATAAAGACCAAAATGAATCAAAATTAAAAGTATAGAGACCAAAATAAACATTTTGAAAATAGATGAACTAAAATAAACCAAATCCGAAAATATAGGGACTAAAATTATTATGTTAACCTAGTAATTATATGCACCAATGTCATATACAATACTGATCAATTTGATATATCTACACAAAATAGTTCTCTCTCTCTAGATTTATGTCGAAGATGGTAAATAAATATATAAAGAGAAGGCTCTAGAAATATCCTATCTTTAGTAATATTCATGGAAAAGGGATTCTAAAAAGTTCTAGATAGGATTAGATTTATAAAAGAAATTATCTTAGAAGTATATAAGATCATCTCAAGGAGCTGGGAAAGATCCATTTATTTGGACTCCAAGATCTTTCTCCTATTCTATATATTAGACATGCGAGGAAAGTGAAGAAAGTGAGCCAATTAGTGAGTGAGAGTGTGAGAGAGTCTTCCCTGAGAAGGGTGTCTATTTTGTACTTCCTAATAAAGCTTTCTTTCTTCAGGGTATCGACTCTTGCCTTTTGTGTTAATTTCTTCTACAATTTATCTATACTTGTGATTTCATATGAAGTTTTTGAATGCTTACAGTGATTTGAGCCTTAATCTCGTCGATTGACAGCAACGATTCCCCACTCTCATCTTTAAGTGAAATAAGGATATCGAGAATGTCCTCCACGCCTTCCCTTTTCCCATCTTTCCATTGTTGCACCCTCTCATTTATAATGGGTTCATCATACTTCCGAAGGACTTCCAAAGCCTGTTTCATGATCTTCCCATGTCCATCTAAATCAAATGGCTTCAAACAAGGCATGAAATCTGATATAGAAAATGCATTAATATGCTTAAGAATTGTCAGCAACGCTTGGTTATGCTCTTCTTCTTCAAAACTTGGCCCTCCATCTTCGCTCCCTTTGCCATAGTACCTGTTGGAGCAAAATACAGAGAAAAAGATGGAAACAAGAATTTGATTAATTAATTTGAATCCAATAGTAGCGTTGTTTTCTCAAGAAAATTTTGTTCCCTTTCTCAAGGTATCACCAATAGTTAGCTCTCGAGATAGGACGGATAACTAACTTGTGAATGCAACATTTCAAACACAAGACCCAAGGAACCCAACGAACTATAGTACCTACCTTGTATTGAATAGGCTTCTTCTGATAACGTTACCACAATAATGCTGCGTTATACTTCTCAAATTAACCACTGCACCGGCTCCGCCCGCCGTTAGTTTGAAAATATAACGTAGAAGGATGTGGGCTTCGTTAGTTCTATGGCCAAGTATTTGGTGAAGATCAGTTGATGGACTCAGTATTTCTGATGTGAGTATTCTTCTCATCTTCTTCCATTGGTCTCCCGAAGGTGAAAAAGCTGTGGTGAGAAATCCACGAGTAAAGAGATTGACAGTGTTGGAGATGGTGGAACGTGATGCAAACACAGAGTCATGTGTCTTGAGAAATTCCACAGCCAGTTCTGGAGAAGTCACTGGGATTACGTAGGTATTTCCGAGACGAATGCATGCGATTTCAGTGTCGAATTGCTTCATCACTGCATGAATCCATTTGTATTTTGGTGAGTTTGTGGCCAAAATTGATGGGAGGCAGCCCACGAGAGGCCATGGTTTTGGGCCTGGTGGGAGTTTGAGAACTGAGTTTTTTCTCTTACAGTAACATTGAGAAAACATGGCACAAATGGAAACCATGAAAAGGAAGACAGTGAAGGTTTTGGCTGTGGGTAGTTGACTGATGAATAAGAAACCTTCCATGTCTCTTCACTCTCTCTCTTGATCTCTATTACGAAAGTGTGTGTATATATATAAGGCTAGATGTGCCTTTGCGTTTCTAAATCAACCTTATTATTTTAAAAGTTTTAATACAAAAAGCAAACATCGGTTAGTATTCTTTTTACCTCGTCAATCTTGATCGTATTCTATTTTTAGACCTGATGTTTGTTTGAGTATCTTGATCATATTCTATTTTTGGATCCGATGCTGATTTGAGTGTTTTGGGTTTTGATATTGTATTAATATTCATGAAGTTTAAAAAATCAATTAGGCAATGAAAGTGGTAACATGTGTATTATAAACCTATGTTAACTTACTTATCTTTTCAAGATGGGATGCTTAACAATTCTAAATGAAAGATTGACGTGACAGAATTTGAAACGAGAAGCTTGTCGAGAATAATTAACTGGCACTACAGCAAATTTGATCTTTAATGATGGTATAAAAAATAAAAATAAAATACCAGTAGAAACAATGACGACCAAAAATAATTGACCAAATTTTCTTTTTTTAGTACAACAGTAATTGACAAGTTAAAGGTGAAGTTTCTTAGTGTAGGGACATTTATAATAGTTCCAAGCAAAATTTCATGAATAGTTATGTCATTTTAAATTCTACCATATCAATTTTTTATATAAAATATCAATGGAGGTTTGTTCAAAAATATATTTTGATATATTTATATATTTATGAAATGTGAACGATAGTATTTAAACTTTGAAAGGATATTGATATTTTTGAAAATAGTATTAAGTTCAAGGATATTTTTGTAATTTAAACTATATATAAATACATATATTATTGGCAATTGGCATGTGGACCATTTTTCTGTCGGTACTAACTATGAATATAAAATTGAAAATTGAAAATGATTTAAAGTACAATACCTTAAATTTTGTTTTCAGATTGGAAACCAGAAATCTAGGAATGTGTCCATATATGACACTATTTACTATTTTTTGTTGTTATAAATTAACAAAATAAAAGAAATAAATAAGATAGGAACATGATTTTAGAATTAAAAAACAATTTCAATTATTTTAAAAGATGACAAACAGGCTAATGACGAACAAAAACCTTTATCTTGTGACATCAACTTTAATTAAGTATTTTAATATGGTTCACATCTGTTATGCAGGGAAATTATTAGTGATTTTTTTAAAGTTCAATTATTAGCAATTGGATATAAAATAGCAATTGTGTAGAAATCATCTGATTATACAAAAAGATTGGAATTCATTCTCAGCCAAACAAAAAAAAAAACTTAGGACTCCGTTGGTAACGTTTCTGTTTCTTTATTTTTAACGAAGAAAAATATAATGTATGGTTCCAACCTCCCAGAATTCAAATATGATAAAACAATATTTTCTAAAAAATAAAAAAGGAAGAAACAAGAAACAAAATTAGTTATAAAATACTTAGATTTTTTAAGAAAATTAGAAACGAGAAAAAAAAAAGTAATGTTACCAAACGGACCTAACAAGTTTAGGTATTTTTGTTTATTAATTCACATTTTGTTTTTGTTTAATGGATAGATTTCTCTACCGGCCATCTGGTTTTACATCTTAAAATTGAAAATGTAATTTAACTTGGTTTTTTTATTAATTATTTTTTAAATCCACCGATGTGATGGACTAAAAAAAGACCAAGGTTCGAAAGGTCAAATATAAAATAAAAAAATAATAATAAAAAATATATAATTTTATTTTGTCTAAAACAAGATATATAAATTAATAAAAGATGTTTTGAGGCTTCCTTAACTCACTAAGAATTGAAATGGGAATGAATCTAAATGAAAATCAATCAAAATAGGAATGTTATTCCTTTGATGTTGTTTATTAAAACCGTCTGAAATCATAATCGGACTCAAATATATAACAATTACTAGTATAGCTCTTTCTTGTTTCTAGCAAATTACAAATATATTGTTGTGCTATTTTCCTTTTTTTTATTAAAATAGTAATAAGTTTTAATGGGAATGGGATTGACGAGAGTTGTAGGAAAGAGATGAGACTGCGGGAATGAGATTAACAAGTTGAGATGAGTACCAACATTTGATATCATTCCTATACGAAAATATTGATTCTCATCCTCTATTTACTTCAAATATTCCATTGAAGTTAACATGACCTAAATATAATTACTGAGATAAGCGAGATCTAACAAAGGAAGGGCAGATCTCCTTCCTCCCTACTTACATAGGTTTTTTTTTTTCAAATTATACTCAGTATTTCATAAATAGTTATTAGGTTAAATATTTAGGAATCTAGATTTTCATATTTAAATTATAATATTTTGTCTCCCTATTGCCCTTAATTAATATCAATTAATTCCTTGGGTGCGGGTGGTTCAAGACCTTGGCCACTATCTCGGTCTTCCCTCGATTTTTTCACAGAGAAAAAGGGATGCTTTAGTGAGGTGAAAGAGAGGATTTGGGAGGTGATTCAGAGCTGGAAAGGCAATATTTTCTCGTCTAGTGGGAAAGAAATTCTAATTAAAATTATTGCTCAAACAATTCCAACGTATGCCATGAGTTGTTCTAGGCTACCAAAAAGCTTTTGCCAAGATGTTGAGTGCATGATTTCTAGATTTTGGTGGAGAACGACGGAAGAGAAAAGACGTCTTCACTGGAAGAGGTGGGATAAATTGTGCCGGCCAAAGGAAGTGGGTGGTTTGAATTTTAGGGACCTTGAAATTTTTAACCAAGCTATGTTGGCCAAAAGTGTGGAGGATTCTCAAAGGCCCTAATCTCCTGGTTTCCAGGCTGGTAAAAGGTTGCTACTTACTTGATTCAGATATTCTTCCAGCCTCCCCCATTCCTCTACATCCTATCTCTGGAAAGGTCTTCAATGGGGAAGGGAGTTGTTGATGGAAGGTCTTCGCAAGAGAATTGGAAATGGGCGAAAGACTAGTTTTTTTAAGACAAATGGTTGCCCAAGGAAACTTCTTTCAAGTTAATTTCTCCTTACCCTGTTGGGGTGGAATTCAAGGTTTCAGATTTCATTACTCTGTCCAAGCTATGGGATACCCAAAAATTAAGGCAGACTATTCTAGAAGAGGATGTAGAGACTATTCTGAAAATTCCGATCAGTTGGTATGAGATTGAGGATATGTGGGTTTGGCATTATGATCGCAGAGAGGTATACTCAGTTAAAAGTGGCTATAAGTTGGTCATCAATTTGAAGATGCCCTCGTGCTCCTCTAGTAATCAAAGGAGGGGTGATTGGTGGAAGAGTTTGTGGAAGCTAAAGATTCCTCCCAAAATTATAATGTTCATTTGGCGAGTGTTTACAAAGTGTGTGCCTTCGTTGGAGAATCTAAGGTTGAAAGGCCTAGAAGTGAGTCTGGATTGTGCAATGTGTGGAAACAAACCAGAAACTACAGATCATTCTCTGTTCCAATGTAAAAGAGCCAAAGAAATTTGGGAATTGATTTTACCTCATCGGAGCCTTCATATAAATTTCTTTCATTCAATTCAGGATAGGCTCATATCTCTTCGTGAGGAGATATCTATAAAGAATTTGAACTGGTTTGTGTTAGTTGTTGGGCAATTTGGAGTGATAGAAATGCAATTCGAGCCCAAAAACAAATACTTGATGTCAGGAGCAGATGCGAATGAATTCATTCTTATATGAAGGAAATTGACTCTAGTTTTCAGGCACGTCTGTCAAGTGTGGTGGATTCCCAAATGGCCAGCAGAAGAGTTGGTGGTAATATCTGGTCTCTACCTCCCCTGGGTTGGGTTAAATTTAACGTGGATGCGGCGTGTAATTCGACGACTCCTCGTATTGGTATAAGAACTATTTGTCGGAACAGTGAAAGGGAAATTTTGGTTACCATGTCCAAAGGATTCGATGTTCACTACGATCCCCTAACAGCGGAATTACTCGCCATCCATGAATGTTTGAAGCTCGCTCTCCAGTTAAATTATCGATCTGTGCAGTTGGAGTCAAACTGTCTCCAAGCTATTGAGCTCGAAAAGGGGACAAAGCGATTTGGTTGGATCCTGGCACCTGGGTTGAGGATATCAGAAACTCCATGGAAGATTTCACCCAAATTTTATTCTTGCACATGTGAAAAGAGAAGGCAATCAGATTGCTCACAAGCTCCCGTCGAATGCTGTCGCCTTTGTGGATTTATGCGTTTGTTCTTCTAATTTCCAATCTAGATTATTAATGATTCTATAAGGGACTGTAATAACCTTTTAGGCTTGTGATGTTTTCTAATAAATTTTCCTTCCTAAAAAAAAATCAATTAATTTAACGTGATTTATTTTGTATTTGAATATTTTATTTAATACAAATTAAAAATTTTCCATATTTTGTAGACACCTACAATAAATATCAAGATTTTTTCAAAATTTTCCAAAATAAGCTTAAATCAAAGATTGAAATTTTGTGCAACACTAAAGTGAGGCTTCCATTAACGAGTGACGATTTTGGAGGGACTGGATCAATCTTGGAACTTGGTTGCATACCCAATTCGGGTGGAATCTGATTCTTTAGAAGTAATATCTTTACACATAATGGAAAGAAAGACTTGTCACAAATTATGTAGATGGTAAATGAAATCCTATGAATACTCGAACATTTAAACATTTTGTCTTTTGTCAAGGTAGATAGAGCAACAAATGTATATGTTCATTCCATTGCTAAAAGAGCTTGCGATTTACAAAAGAGTAGTATTTGGGATGTAACTATTCCTTATTGGTTTGATGCTTTGGTCCAGTTGGACGATTCGATTGCTTAATGAAGTTTCTTTCGTTTCAAAAAAAAAAAAAAAAAGTGAGGCTTCCATTGTAATTTAAAATTGAAAATTTTCCTCAATCAAAGATTTCCCTAGAATTTATCTCCATCAAAATTTTCTCCCCCAATTAAATGCTAAATCTTTTATTTAAATGT